CCCTGAGCTTAGAACGGCCGTACTGGGTCAGACCAAAGGTCCATCTAGCCCAGTAGCCTGTCTGCTGACAGCGGCCAACACCAGCTACCCCGGAGGGGATGGACCGAAGACAATAACCAAGCCATTTGTCTCATGCCATCCATCTCCAGCCTTCCAAAACAGAGGCCAGGGACACCATTTCTATCCCCTGGCTAATAGCACAGTTGGGAAGTTTTCCTAATGTCCACCTAAATCTCCCTTGCTGCAATTTAAGCCCATTGCTTCTTGTCCTATCATCAGATGCCAAGGAGAACATTTTTTCTCCCTTCTCCTTATAACACCCGTTTAGCTACTTGACCCAGTACCATCTAGACCAGCGGTGGCCAACCCGAGGCTTGTGAGCCGCATGCAGCTCACAAAGAAAAAAATTACAGCTCCTGACGGAACCAGGACGGAACATGGGGACCGCTCAGGTCAGCCACTGTCACGGCCAGGCTGCTGTGAGCCGCAAGAGTGCTCACAGCCTGCGCCATTCCACTCACGGCCCACAGCGCACTACGTCATATCCTGCATGTGCAGGCCGGGTCACACACAGCCTCCCAGCTTGCACGTGCTAGCAGCCGGCCGCTGAGCACAGGCAGCAGCTTCGGGACCCGGGCATAAGGTTGGGGAAGAGAGATGCCTGGCTTTGGAGAAAGGAAGAGGGTTTGGGGGAGAGCGGGTGCGTATGGCGTCCCGGATGCGGTGCAGCAGCTCTAGCTCCGGGACCTGAGCATAAGGTTGAGGGGAAAAGGATTGGGTTACAGCAGGGAGGGGAGGTGTCTGACTCTGGGGAAGGGAGGGAAGGGGAGAGGGATTGGGTTGTGCATGGCATCCCGGCCAGCTCATGCTCAAAGCCGGCCGTTCAGCGCACGTGCCTCAGTGCCTGGAGGGAGACGCACGGCTGTAACGGCAGTGGCGGCCCCAGGACCTGAGAATTAGGTTAGAGGGGGGGAAAGGGATTGAGTTGGGTTGGGTTGGGTTGGGTTGGGGTGTGTGCCTGGCTTTGGGGAAGGGGAGGAGAGAGAAATTGGGTTAGGGTGATGTGCCTGTCTTTGAGGAAAGGGAGGAGAGGGGGATCAGGTTGGAGTGTGTATACCTACCTCTGGGGAAGGGGAGGAGAGGGGGATTGGGTTGGGGAGGGGGTGTGCCTGGCTTTGGGGAAGGGGAGGAGAGAGAAATTGGGTTAGGGTGATGTGCCTGTCTTTGAGGAAAGGGAGGAGAGGGGGATCAGGTTGGAGTGTGTATACCTACCTCTGGGGAAGGGGAGGAGAGGGGGATTGGGTTGGGGAGGGTGTGTGCCTGCCTTTGGGGAGGGGAGGGGCACTGGGTTAGAGCAGGCTGCTCCTCCCCTCCCCTAAACAGCTGGTGCGCTTCCTGAAATTCCCAGTCTCTCACTCTGACGGGGACTTCCTTCCCCCCTGATGCCTGCCTGCACAGGGTGTGTGTGCGTAGGAGTCCCAGGACTGCATGCCAACTTCTCAGGAAGCACGCGGCTGTCGTGGGGAGCAGAGGAAAAGCGTGCACTTCCTGAGAAGTTGGCAGGCAGTCCTGGGACTCCTACACACACATACCCTGTGGGGACAGGCAGGTATCAGCGGGGGGCAGGGGGAAAAGGAAGTCCCCAGCGGAGTGGCAGACCAGGAATTTCAGGAAGCGCACCAGTTGTTTAGGGGAGGGGAAGAACAGAAAGTGCATGGGCTGAGACCTAGGATCCCCAGGTACTGCCCCCAGCTGTCTCTGTCCCCTCCACCTGGCCAGACCCTCCCACCACAAGTACCCTGCCCCAGCACTCTGTCCGCTGCCCCCTCCATCACAATTAGGGCCACATTAATGAGGCTTCGGGGTTTTGGAGGGGTTGTTTTTTTTGCATCTCACTTGTGTGGCCTTGACTGGTTTTTCTCTGGGTTAGTGACCCCTGACTCAAAACAGGTTCCCCGCTGAAACATTTTGTGTTTGACATAATATTTTATTTAAAAATGAAGCTTGGTCAACAAGCCTCCAATTAGGGCCAAGCCCCCATGTGGCCGCAGCATCATAATGCTCCTGCACCCCCCAGACCCGAAATCTGAGTCTGTCATACATTGGAACCCCCTGTCCTGAGCCGCACACCCCCAAACTTCTGCACCCACAGCCTCAGTCTTCTGCCACAACACTCCTGCACCATCCACACACTTCAATCTGTGTCCTTAGCCCATCATATTCCCAGCCTCCCTGCCCTGAGCCCCTCCTGTACCCCAGCCCCAAATCCTGCACCCTCACAGCCACAAGCCTGTGGCTTGCTCAGCACCCCAACCCTCCACCTGACCCCATCACTCTCCAGC